GTGGAGGAGAGCTATGTGGGGGAAAAAAGAGGAACAACTGTAATAATCTGAACAATAAAGATTTAATTAAAAAATAAAATAAAATGATTTCTATTAAAAAAAAAAAGAATTCTCAAAACCCAACAGTTAATCCAGTTGGAAAATGAGCAAAAGACATGAACAGACATATCACCTAAGAGGATATAAAGATGCAAACAAGCTCATGAAAAGATGTTCAACACCATTAGCTACTAGGGAAATGCAAATAAAAAGCACAGTAAGTTATACACATCTATCAAAATAGTTAAAGTATGAAAACAGTGAAAATACCAAGTACTGGTGAAGAGGTAAAGAAACTGGATCCCTCATATATTGCTGGTGGGAATGTAAAATGGTACAGCCACTCTGGGGAATAATTTGGCAGTTTCTTTAAAAACTAAACTTGCATTTACTATCATCTCAGCAATTGTATTCTAGGCATTTATCCTAGAGAAATGAACTATGTTATACAAAAAGTTGTATAAATATATTTACAGTAATTTTATTCATTATAGTCCCAAATTGGAACCAATCTAGATGTTCTCCAGTGAGTGAATAATTATGGGCCCAGCACGCTTCCGCTGTGCAACTCTGCTCTCTCAGTGAGTGAATAATAAAATTGTAGTGTGTCCATACTACTCAGCAAAAAAAAAAAATAAAAAAAAAATGGAACCAATTATTGATATACCCAACAGCTTGGATCAATCCTCAGAGAATTATACTTAGTAAAACATCCAATCCCAAAAGGTTACATACTGTGTGATTCCATTTATATAACATTCTTAAAATTATAAAAATCATAGAAATAGAGAACACTTCAGTGGTTGCCAGGGGTTAGGGGAGGTGGAGAGAGGGAAGTGAATGTGACTATAAAGAGGCAACATGAAGAATCCTTTTGGGTATGTTCTGTATTTGATTGTCTCTCGACTTTATTAATGGCAATATCCTGGTTGTGATATTGTATTACAATTGCAAGATGTCACCATTGAGGGAATCTGGGTAAAGGGGACATAGCGTGTTTCTATATTATTTATTATAACCACATGTAAATCTACAATTACCTCAAAATAAAAGTGACTGCTAAATGCCATAGTGCCCCTGGAATTCAGAGCACAGTGCCTGTGTTGACTTTTGTCATGTATGACTGTTGTGGATTCTGTGGTACTGGCTCAGATCCTTTCCTTGGGGCTGGGGTTACCCAACCTGGCCATCAATGCATTTTCTTAAAGCTCCCTTGTGGTAGCCAGGGTTGAAACAAACAACAATGCTGTAGGGTTCTACTGCCTCAGTTTTGAATGATGTGGTGAATTGCAAACACATAGGCCAGCAGAGTAACATATAAACAGTTGGGTAGTAGACTCTGAGAGACAAAGACCCAAGATGCAGGTGACAGGCATTTTCTGCAAACAGCAGCTGCAGGCACTTCTCAGAGAACACAGGGAGGCCTGTAAGAGCTCAGTCACCTCGGGAGCACACAGAAATGGCAACCACGAACTCCAATATCTGTTATGATGGGTGTGACTACGTGGTAGTATATGTTAAAGAAAGGATAAGGGAGATATTTGGTGAAAAACATTGTTTCCAAGAGAGTTCATCAAGTAAGTACTGTACTCTGATAAGGGCGATTCGCCATTCTCTACACTGGAAGGGGGCTTCCTGCGTTGTTTTCCTGCTCAAAATGTCCAGGTGAAGTCCATGTCATTGGTGATGGTGGAGGTGAAAAGAAATAACATATAATTAGAAATTAATTCTTATTATTTGGTTCAAGATACTCATTGTTCTGCATTGATATGCCCATTACTTAAAAAAATTAGAATTATAATAACAGAAATAGAAGCTCTTTTATTCTACTGAAATTGGATTTCAAGCATAAGAATGAAATCAAAGGCAAACTGGTCGGGGGGGGCGGGCGAGGGGCATTTGCCCAAAACAATACATGTCACAAATCAGGAACATAAATTGTGAATTAAGAGTCATGGTTCTATTTTGACCTAATCATATATGTTTCTAATCACTGGGGTTTTTTAATTGAAGGGAAAAAAATGTTGGACACTTCAATTGTTACATTGGTGGAGAAACCTACCATTGACACATACAAGTCACCCGTGCACTTGTTCCCCACATTTACATGCACTTGTTCCCCCATGTCTACGTGCACGTGTTCCCCCCATATCTACATGCATTTCCC